ATTCACCAGGATAACAGATGCTATAAAGCTTCTAAGATAGACAAATATACCTTCTGCATACTGAATTACATTTTACGTTTATGTTATATGTATTGAGAATTTATATCAAAGTGACAAGTGTCTTCAGTTCCTTATATAATCAGGAGACATATATGCTGCTCAGCACAAAAGAGTCAGTCCTAAAGAACTTAATGATGCCACGAATAATGGCATAGTCTTTCCCAAGCTCTGCTCTTGCCAGCCAGAACTTTTTTTTTCTTAAATTATTTTTAGCTGACAAACCTAGATTCAGATTTTTTTTTTAAACTCTTTAAAAATTACCATCTCTTTAATTGCTGAAACAAACCAAACATATATAAAATAGGAAAAGAAATATAAATATATAAAAAACTGTTACTCTACCTCTCCGTTAAAGAAGCAGAAAATTGTAGCCACCAGTAGACCCTGTAAAATAAAAAGATTCTGCTTTATTTCAGATGCATATGGATTTTTCCAGGTTTGAGATAAACAGAGGTTCCTGATAAAATTCAGATACAGATAGTAAAGAAAATGTAGTACAAATCTAAACTTGGCGAATTCTTTCTAAAAATACATTACTAAAAAGTATTGGGCCAGCTATTTATCATGCCGCTTCTTTCCTTTAGGAAATGAAAATTCAGCATAATGAGAAAGTTAAAGCCATTTATAGGAATATTGCATGAAGGTCTTTAAAAATTAAAATAACACGATCATTTCTCCTTTATTTGCTTCACGTGCCAACTGCTATCTAGCTCAAGTGAGCAAAAACTGTTCAGTGCTTCCTACCTGGTAGTGCATAAGGATGTGCATCACATAGTCGTACACTTCCTCAGCGATCCGGCCTTCTGGTCGCCATGGAAACAGCACAAATTCAATGCCAAGCAGTGGAACCAGAATCAGGGTTGCTCTCACTGCTTTCATGTACAGGTTGGATTCTGCCTTGTGGGTGTCTTTCAGCTTGGTTATGAGAACACGAACGATATTTAGCAGGAAGAAAAGATTCACCTGTCGGAAAAGAAAATGACACTGAAGGTAGTCTGAAAAATAATCCCACACGCTGTTTTGGGATACTAAAACCAGAAACTCAAGAAAACTCATACTACAGGGACAGCATTGTGACTGTACGATAAACATGAGTTAAAACTCTTTGAGAAGACCTTTAAGTAACTGAGATGTGGCTCTAACGTCCAATATCCACATCCATTCCTCTAACTTATTAGGCAAGTGTCCACCCAGATAACTGTCGGTCTTCCGGTGTTACAATTCACACACCTTTCTCACTGCTGTCACAGTATCAGTACACACATGACTGATTGGTCTTTTTAAAATTACTATATCTTTTTATGTTGGTCAAGAAAGAGGATAACACCCTTTCACTCCTTGTATTTAAATATGGTTCTTCAAAAAAACTGCTTTTTTATTTTTCAAATATGTATTTGACAAATTTATAGAGAAGAAAAAAATTAGATTTAAAAAAATGAAAAAATAAAAAGAAATAAAATTGCAGGCAAAATGCTGCTAACAAGGAGCTGTATACTCCTGTAGACAATCAGCAGATGTAACGTTCTCACAGTGGCCAATGCTTGATTTTTGAATCATTCAGCAGAACTGCAAATGGGGCAAGCACTCAGATGATGCTCTACATCATTCTCATGCACTGCTGAACTTAATTATTCCCATAGCTAGTAAGGCTTTTCTTGTTAACAGTGGTGTATATCTGTTCATTCAGTTTCACAAAAAAAAAATAATAATCCCAAACTGAAATCACAACTATGCAGACTATATCTTTCAACATGTGAGCACTCATCGTAAGCAGCCACAAACCCAATACACGCACACGTATGTGTATGTATATATATACGCGCACCCCCCAGCTTAAGTAACCAGAGCAACAGCAACACTAGGGATGATTACACCATGTTTTCATCTGTCATGCAATAATGGTAGCCCCTTATAGAAACTACAGCTAGAAGAGACCTTGAGAGCTCAGGCAGTCCTGTCACCTTGCCCAAGGGCACAGAGGCAAGGCAATGCTGCTTAGGGGACCCACTATGGAAGGGAGAGACCTACAGTCTGGTCCTCTTATCTCTTCTTCCAGATAACTGTCTGTCCTTGTCAACAACTACCTAGAGACAAAAGGGGGGGCCGGGGAAGAAGCCAGCAGACAGACAGACAGGCAACTCCCTTCTAAAAATACTAGGAACTCCTAGTCTAGGGGGAGGCCTCTGTCTTGCTGTAGGACAAGTGCAAACAGGGAATCCATTTCAGACCATGTGTGTCACTGTGTCCTCCACAACCCTGGCGGAATTCTTTCATGTCAGTTAAGGTTTTCACGATAAACAGCTGTGTATTGTTATAGCAACATGGCCCTTGACAGATATGTGATGTTATTTATATTCTACTTACATGCTATTTAAATCATTTTAACAGGAAATTGTTTTACATAGGAAACTACTGCATGAATTTCTCCTGGAAGTCTCCAGCTACCTTTAGGCTTTGTTTGAGCAACGAAGGTCTTCTGATTCTTTCTCAAGGGATTTATTTAGATTTTATGCAGCCCACGATCCTCATCCAACTTCCTACAGTACACATAGACAATAAGTCCTTCCTCCATTTCTAAATTTAATCCTTCTCCAGTCTACTAGTTCAACATGTCTCAAACACAAGAGTTTTCAGCCCTCTCGTGTTTTGGTAGCATGGCCAATCCCTATAATACTGTCCTTGAACGCTAACTGAAGATGAAAGTTGCCGCAGCCAGGAGTAAAATACCACCCAGCAAACTATTTCATTTACAACATGCTGAAATGCACACAATTTGTCTGTTTTTTCCACTTACCCACCAAAACCAAAAAGCACAAAAATAAGCATGCAAAGAGTTTGCAAACAGATATTAGGGCAAACAGAAAAGAGGAACGAGGCAAAGCAGAGGACAGAGTTGAGAAGAACAGTACGAGTGTCAGTAAAAGTACGCAGCACCAATTTTTGATGAATATCTCTTCTGTCACAAGATGTAGTGAGAACAGGGTGAACTGAATTCTTAATAAAAGTGATGAAAACAAGTCTTGATTTTAGCAAGGTAGTAAGTAGATTTTTACATTTAAGCAAAAGTAGGCCAGTGGAACTACTCACATATATATATTATCATCAAATTGACTGTGATGGTTTGGAAAGCCCCAAAGGAGTCCTGTTGTGCTAGCTGCAGTATGAACATGTAGTAAAATACTAGCAGCTCCACAGTGACCTGAAAATTGAACGGGCAAACGCACAAAAATGGAAACAAAGGCAGAGAAGGGAATCCTAGATAAAAGGAAATGTTGGTGCCTATACTGGGAACTTAGCAGAATTTAGGTTCTGCCTTAAGAGTGGCCGTGAACTCAGCTGAGCTTATAAGTCAATAGGTGCTGCAGTTCTTGAATTAAACTTTCCTCAGGTCCCTGATATTTCTACTTCTCTCCATGTTGAGTTTATGCTAAGCAGTATGGTAATTCTTATTAACACGTAGGCTTAAATTCTGTTTAAATTCCTCCTTAGAATGATATAAACAGACCATTCTCAGCTCAAGAAACTCATATATTCTTAGATAGTAGCTGGTAGCCATTGCTTGGCTTTTAATAGTTATGCAGCTTCAGATCTTAGCCTGCTTGAGCCCGGCTTGCTTAGGCAGAACACCTGTATGTGCTCATGAAGACAATTTTTATACTTGGCCTGCGGACATTTCCAAGGCTGGGTATATGAATGCTAAGCATTCAACTTCTAAACTCCTAAGTCTTGTACTGACTCCAGCTTAAAGTCATTAAATAGGCCGGTGACAAAGGTAGGAGCTCCTGACTTTCCTTCTAGTACACGTTCACTGAGTATACTTCTTCTGCTAAAAGAATTTGCACCTCTAAGAGGCTGTCAGCCTAAGACACCAATACATAACATTATTATAGGGCAAAATAAACATCCCTGTAGTATTATTTATATAAATAAAGGCATAACTAAATAAAAATCTACTCTTTCAGCGGCACCAATGCAAACTAAATCACTAGTGCACTGGCACGTCTGAAATCTATGCTGAAATCACTTCTGCTTTCACTAAAGTTCAAACCCATTCCTTTTCCACCCCCCCTCCATTTTGATCAACATTTGTCTAGTGTAAAAACTAACATCACACTCGACTGTTTCATTCCCACACTATTTAATTGTGGTTGCTTAGGCAAACAGTTGTAATTAAATGGTCAACTGAAGACAACTCCAATCGAAATGCAACCTATGTCTGCTCCATTTTCCAGTTTCTTTGGCAGGGATCTGACCCCAGTTATGTAAAACAGGGACCGTAAAAGCAGTGTTATTGTTAACTTTATGTAATTGTATCATTTTCAGCGATGTACGAGAGTTAAATTCCCATTGGCTTCTGCCAGTTCTCCCTGGCACCCGCGTGACAGTCCTATTCATGTTCTTTGAGATCTTGCTCCTGCAAGTAGAAACAGTGTCTTCTCCCCTGTTATCTAATTTGCAGTTTAATATTGTTGCTTAAACGTCTACTAAAGCAGGTCATGCTTAGTAAAGTGTGAAAATTGTATCTGGCAAGCAAGCTGCTTAAGCAAATGAGGGTTCTGTTCTCACAAAGCCTAAACACACGCATTTCATCTAATGTCTTTATCCCTGGCTTGTCTTTTCTGAATTGACATACTACATTTTTTTGTTACCAGATAGGAAAGCAACTCCTTTAAAGTAGTTTCACATCACAGGCAAGCTGTGTAGTTGTGTTTAATCTTTGTTATTCCTACATGGTTTTCAAATAAATTTACTGATTGTACTGAGGCAAGAAAAATGCAAGAGAAACACCTGCAGCCGGTTCATGAAAAATATAGGAATATCAAAGCTATACATATTTGTAAATTGCAAAGAGAATGGACAAAGATTCTGCCCAAACCAACGCCGCAGAGGCGATTATTATGCCTCCTGTAAAATCACAGGACATTCTTAGCATTGCATTGAATGGAAAGAAGACTTGACAGTTTGGGACTGATCCAGTACGTTTGAAACCAGTAGGAGGTCTTGCCACTTGTTTTCAGTGTGACTTTGTGGAGGCCACTGCTGGGAACGAGAAAATGATCTTACATACTAAAATGAGGTCACTTCATGGAAGATGGTGTAGCCTCATAACTTTTACACAAATTTTTCTGTTGTTATTTAAGCAAGCTCTGACTAATACAAATTATATTTCAGCTTTAAAGGGCTTTACTTAAGTGATATGTCTGTGAAGAGACAACTGGACAAAGAGGTAACAACCCACGAGGCAATGCAAATAGCATACATTTTCTGGGTGAGACACAGCACCACTGAAGTGAGGAAAAAAACCGTATCCCTTTCTGTGAAAACAGGATTTCACCTTCTGTGTAAATTAGAGAGAAGAAAAGTTGAAAGGATTTAGAATTGGTTTTAACTTCAGAGATTAGAGCACGAGTGGAAGTGTCTTAACACGAACATATATGGCAGACCTGACTAACAGGACAAGGGATTATCAGTAATAATTCACACCCCAAGGGCCATGAATCACAATAATTTCATGGGGACTGCCTCTGGCTTCCCATGCAGAGGACCTCCAGTGTGTCACGGTATCAACACGATCTTGAAAATATAAGTTCACCAGCTAATTTCACTGTGAATGAAAATGGGAGTCACAAGAACCACAGGATTTATGCAACAGTCTTCAGGGAGAATTCTCTATGCACAGAATGCCCTCTGCAAATATTCATTAACAATTTAACAGAAGAGGAAGTTCACGTAGCTCAGAAACTGAAATGATTTCCAAAAAATTACTTAAATGTTTTCATTCTTAATTAATTTCCTTGTATGAACTGAAAAGCCATATGAAAAGTCAGTAGACATATACAATACCTTTGCCAGATCAGTTGGAAGTTTCCGTTACAATAAGAGAGATGACTGTAACATATAGTCAGCAGCTAATTGTGGTCATGCCTAGAATGCCTCTACACTGCAGCATTCTCGGCATTATGCATTCATAGATACTAATTATGTAGATAGTTGTGTAAGTAGGTACATATCAGTATTTTCTTTTATTATGCACCTATTTCTATTTAGCAATAATCTATTGACTGAATTTCATAGGTTAAATTCAGTCCTAAAATAACTGAAGTACAACGTTGATTTTTATGCAGTGGAGTCTTCAGTTACGTACCAAGAATTTAGCGTCTTCAGCAGGAAGCATTTGTGTAATAGAGCTGGCATTAACTTGGAGCGTACGACAGAACACTGCACTCTAAGAGCTCATGAGGACTAATGAAGCAGAGGAGTTGCAATACCCCGGCGGCCAAAGCACACATTGCTAGATTAGCATCAGAACAGGGGCAGTCACAGATACTTGTAGAAATATTTTCACTGGTTCTTTCCCCAGGGCCTGCTCTAGTTTCTCGTCATCCCGTATTCCCACCCACAGTCAGTCCTGACATTCAAGAGCCCTCTTTCTGAACCTCAGTGAGGTCCAGTCTGGTAGCTGTTTGGCCACTTTAGCACAGTGACACAATGATGCTCGTAGTAGGGTCAACAGGGCAAATGGCCTGGGCAGTGACAAAGCATTCTCAGCTAAAGGAAAAATTTGAACGCGGCCCTCCAGTACTCCAGGTAATATTTAGTCCTTCCTTGTCACTAGCATCTAAGTGGAATGATAATCAACATCGCAAAACCCAAGTTTCTCAAAGGACCAGGGGTACAGCTCCTTAGTAAGGCCAAGACTTGTGCATCTGGTGTGTCTAAAACACCTGCTGGGTTAAGTGAGAGTCTTGTGAATGACAGTGACCTCTAAATGTTAGCTTTAGGCTCTTACCAACTTTATAAGCCCATGAAGAACAGCCAGAAAACAAATAAGAAAAGCAAATTATTATCTGAAAAATGCCTACCAAGAGAGCAGCACAAATAGGGCCATGGATGATGTACAGCAGATGCGTATCAGAGCTGATCCAACAACTAGAGAAAACAAACAGGGAATGAAAAAAACATTTGGCATTTTATTATCTGTTGTACTCCTTTTTTTCCCCTTAAAGAAAACGTAACAGGTTTGCACAGCAAGTTGAGATGCTACTTACTTGTCATTATAATATAAACTTCTAGCAACAGCATGTATGCAGGCAGGGATCAGTGGAAAACCTGTGAAGAAAAAACAAAGTTTTCTCCATACACAACCTGGCTAATAACTAAATTAACTTGCACCTTTTGCGGGAATCTTCTCTATTTTCACCTCATCCAAACTATATACCTGCAGAGCAAATAAACTAATAGGGACCAACTCTGTTTCTGTTTTCTTAGATTTCTTTCAGAGGAGTATACAAAACCTCATTCCCATTGTTTTACCAGGAAATCCATACTAACGCACAGAAAAAAAAGGCAAATCAAATTATAACTTTTTAGAATGTAACAATCAATTTTCATTAACACAGATGTTTTTCAGATGGCAATCTGCAATAAAGCTAAATAGGTAAGTATATTAAAGAGATAATTGTATATACGACCATAGCTTTAACAGTACTATTATCAATGTTGATTATATCCTCACCAATACTTGTTGGGTATTCAGAAAACAAGGTCACCTGCAAAAAAAATTTGAAAACAGACTCTGGAAATCAGGCCAAATTCAAAATTTAAAAAGAACAAACAAATTTGTTTTCTGGGGTCCTTGACACCCTGGTGGTACCTAATTTTCCGAATCTGCTGAGCACCTATGATCTTTTAACCACGTCTCAGTTGTGTCTGTAGTGGGACATCTCGCGACCCAGGTACCAAGTCACGTTATACCTCAACATGCCAACACCCTGAAGCTGAGGAGAAAGCCCTCACTTGCACTTTGTGAACATGCTGTTGTGCATTATCTGAAATGACCAGGTTTGGCTTGTTAGTTTTGATACTGATATTACTTGAGACCTTCAGCTACAGCTATTCCGTATTTGCTTAGTGAACAATACAGGTCAAATGGAACTGCTGGAAAAATAAATACTTGGCCATCTCTAACTCAGTTCTGACTCTCCACCCTAGACATGGCGAGACTTCTCTGAAAACAAACATTCATTCCTGAATAAACATCTTCGAGATGAGGAACAATGAATAATTACTTCTTAATGTCTTTTTTATAATAGGAGACTATTTTCTCTATACAAAGGAGGAGTCGCTTCCTGACTCCAGAAACGCATAATCTCTCTTTCAGCAAAGATAGAGGTACATACAACTTCCTACGTTAACATTTCTAAGCCTGTTAAAACACTACTGAC